AGACATTTCAGCAAAATCATTCTTTTCGTGTATAGATTTATACTGCAATATGAAAATGAAGGTCCGATATTTGTCGATGATTAAAAAGAAGAAGATTCGAAATATTACATTATATGGACTTGAAGATTTATAACTCATGAAATTAATACTTATCATGAAACTAAAAATAAGGTACAAAATACAAATTGTTATAACGGCATGAATTCATATACGAATATTTGCTATATACAGTTTCAGTTTCTGTCTTTTTGATATTTTTTTCACAAACGTTATTTTGTATTGCATATAGCATCAAGAAATATAATAAAAATAGTATCGCAAATATTTAGCAAGGGTCATGAAATCTATTTAAATGCAATTTGGGCAAGGATGTTGCGTCTAATCTAATAGATTCCCGAACTTGCATGCTGATTAACAACATTTGATCTCTCTAAACTGTGCTCGCGGCGGATCAGTAATTTGACCACAGTTTATGCTAAATACACGTAGGCACCGCGATGCACATACGGTTTGTAACCGTCATAAATGTATATATGTAATGCATTCGAGCGACGCATATAAATTCGCTATTATAATACCACGAAGCAAAACGCGCAGATTGATCAAATAAAAGTGCAAATAAAAATAGCACGCTATCGTTGTAGATGCGAGCAATAATATCTATTAATTATAATTGACAATTGGGAGTTTCTGTATCATCTAGAAACAAAAATATTTATGTTTTTAATTTCTTATTTACGATACCGATATTGTCAATGCTATAGAAATCGTATGACTTATTTTTAAAATGAATTTTACTATAAAATGGCAAAAAAAAGAAAAAGTAATTGTAATTATTTAAAAAAACGTTTCAAACAAATATTTAAAGTTTCTGTTTCAATCTAGGAAAGATTTATAAAAAGTGACCTTTTTTTTAATTAAACGAGTGAAATGTTTCTAAAATTGATTATTAAAAGTTCATAATTTATTATCAGATATAACTATTTCATATCAAATATCATATATCATTATAATAATACTCTAAATATGAATGTCTGGTTTGTACAACAAGAATTTTATTTTTCATCGCTTCTATATACTAACTGCAAAAAATATTCACAGGGGAGATTTTTTATTAAAAAAAGTTTTATTTAGAAAATAAGCATTAATTAGTTAAAATAAATATTGATTTATTTTAATATATACAATAAATACTCTGTTCTAATATAAATATAAACTAAAGAGCTTCAAAGTGCAGTTCATGATCTTAGAAAATTACTAATTAATATTTACTTTCTAAAAATAAGTTTTTTTAAGATAAAATTTATATATTAAACATATCTCTCTATACAAATATTTTTTGAACTTGTAGGTCTGTTTTTTATAGTATATGTATATACTCGTACTTAAAATAAAATAGATATTTTTAAAGTTTGATAAAAGGGAGATAGAAAGTTTTAGTACAGTTCAATGCATCAACAAAGAACAGCCTTGTCTATCGTTTTTCAGAAAATTTTTACATATGGTCGCGCAATTTGCGTGTTTATTTTCATGGATTTCTTTACTATGTATTTAGGTATCGATTAAATTTGTAATAAAATTCAAAAAATGCAGGAGACGAAAGTAAAATATACAATCGCCAATTTAATGATTTAACAATTTTATTATATTTATTATATATTATATTTATTATATATTTGCAATGTGCAATTTACTGATATATATAGATACCATAAATACCATACATACATTATTAATTATATAACTTCAAATGTTCATAGTTATACATTACCATTACATGCTGAATTTTCTCTCTCGGTGCTCTTTGAAATCCATTGATAGAAATGCAAAAAAAAAATCAGAAGTTCGTGCAATACTTCAGCCTCGTGCAATACTTCATTTTGATCTATCAATTCTCATTAAAATCTTCGCTTGCGCGCACACATTTACGACACGATATTCAATACTTCAATACTTGAGCGACGTTGAATGAATATTCTCCAGTTTAAGGTTAAAATTACGAATTTATTTAGCGATGATGGAAAGTGAAAAAAAATATTACGAATTTGTTTAGAAATAATTGAAGGTAAAAAGAAAATGTCGGACTGTGTTATATATTGCACGCATCATGAATTTAATTTTAAAGCTACGAAATTGATACTGCTTTCAAATCATATTAAAAGAATAGTAATAACTTAAAATAATATATCATATTTAAAATGATATATTGCGTTAATCTTCGTCATATTTTTTTAGTTTTCATTCAAACCAAGCAAAACGAGAATTACGTACAAGAACACTAATTGTACGTAACATGAAAAATGAAAAGTTAAAGTAGAATTCCACAACACTATTTGCATAAGTATACTAAATAGCATAAGAAAACTCAGAGTTGCTATCAACATTTTAATTTTTCGTTTGTTAATCTTGAATTATTTAAACTTGCTTACTGATCAGACTTGCAAACGTTTAATAAATCAAATTGAGAGAAATGGACAAGTAATCCTGAGAAACTTTGACTTTGTTCTGTGAATAAACAATACAGATAGATTATGACAGAAATATAATTGACAATTGTTACATAAATAATATTTTGGACTAAAAGTATTTTCTTCACATCAACACAACAAGCAATTGCAAATAAATTTTGGAAATTGATTCTAATTTTGTATAAAAATAAACTGCATTGATTTTGCATATTACATGCCGTGATACATCTTATATTATCTCAAGTCTACTCTTTTAAAACTTTTACTTTTTTAAGATTTCACTCTTCAGAGTGAATCTCACTCTGAAGAGTGAAATCTTATTCTTAATGATTAAAAATTGAGCTACTTTTTATCAAGATTGATTCAA